CTTATGTGATATGTCATTGCTATTTGTTTTTAGAAATTAGAATTATATGTTAATGAAAATAATACTGAGATTTGGGAAAGATAGAATTTTGAGTTTAATTATATTTCATGTTGTCTTATTATTGGGATATTTTGATTTCACTTCATATCTTATGCTTTTTTATGTTTTATATTATTCACTCATTAGTATATAAAAAATTTATCATTTTATGTTTACGCAATCTTTTGATTTTGAGGCTTACGTCTCAAAACGTCTTGAGGCTTACGCCTCACCTCATGAATGAAAAAAGCCTCAATACCCGAATACGCAATTTTCAACATTGATAAAAAGAGGTCAATTGGTGCTCTAAGGAAAATGTTAGATTAGGTATTGAGTTTTAGTTTGAGCAAAAAATGTATATTTTAATGTTGAAACATTAATCTTTTCCTATTTTTTATTATCTTTTTATTTTTTCAAGAGCCTCTTGCATCTAAATAATTATTTTTTCAAGAACCTCTTGCATCTAAATAAGTTGGAATAATGTAGGCTTCATCATGAGTTTATATTTGGATTGAAGCTAAGTTTAGGCTTCATCATGGGTTTATATTTGGATTGAAGCTAAGTTTAAGGTTAACATATTCGTTTGCACAGAGTTAAAAGTAATAATATTCAATGCTAATGATATTGAATACCAAAGACAATCCTTTGAAGCTAATCATATTATTATTATTTTTTCATTTATAATATGATGCTATATTAATTTCTATACATTATTTAAAAATTGTAATGTATTGTCTAAGTCGTACCCGTGTCTTATATAATAATGCTAGCCATGTCTAGCGTTTGTGTGCGTGCATCTTAGTTGAGAGATAAAGAGATATGTACAAAATTCTCCCAACTTTCATAGTGGATTTCTTAGTGTGGTGTAGCTCCGTGGTTTTTTCCCAGTCTCGGATTTTTATACATTAAATCTTAGTGTTCTTTCTACTATGCTGCATTTTCTCTTTCTTGTTTGTGTTCACTACGTAATTTTACTTCCCCAATAGAACCTTGAGACATTTTTTTAATTGAAAACTTTCAAAATTAAATTAGAGATCACATGAGCTCCAATTTAAACGAACTTGGATGCTTCAATGACATAGACCTACAAACGAGTTGTGATATAAATCCAAATTAGCATAAATCATGCATTAAAAGAATAGTTGAAAACTTCATGAAATTATTTGTGAGACCAAATCATCTCCAAATCAGGTGTTCTTTCACTCAAAACAAGCATCTAGATAAGAGGAATCCAATAAGCCCAAAATCACTCAATTTTAATATCACTTAGATATCTAACCGGCTAAGAAACATTCTACAATAAAAAAAATTAGCACAAATCATCTTAGGGAGTGTTTGTAGATTTTGGTTAACATAACCAAAATGACAATCCCAAACAATGTTTAAAGTTGTGCAAGTATTGAGGTGATTTTCGTCCGTTAAGCGAGGCGTAAACCTCAAGGCATTTTGAGACATAAGCTTCAAAATATAGTAATTGCGTAAAGTGAAAAGAAATGTTAAAAGTGATTTGTTTATATAATACCAAAATAATATGCTAAAAAATGACATAATAGCTTTTTATTGAACTATGAAGAAACAAATTGACATACATAGAAAATTTTTTTGCATATGATGTAAAATGGCAACGGATAAATTGAGTGAAATAAAGTTAAAATTCAAGAATAAAACAACATAAAATAAAAGAATTGCATAAAAGCGTGATTTAACATCAAATTTAACTCCAAATTCCTTCTTTATCACTTACTCATCCACAATTAGTTCTTAAATAAAGCAAAAATAGTTGTCAACAACTCAGAAATAATCTGCACGGACATCAGTGAGGGGTTTTTTATTGAAGCCATCATAATAATAAATTAGTCTCTCCCTTGTCTCATCCTATGGAGTCCAAGCCTGTCAATCTGCTTCTTCATCATTACTTTCAATCATCTTCGTCTTTCATAAATATTTGTCATCAATATAATGATGAGAGTAATACTTTTAAATTTTTAGAGGATATGGTGGTGGCGTGTATCTTTCAAGTAATCCCTGACGATGGTCAGGAAGTGGTGGCTATGGCGAAGGCGGTAGGCTAGAGGTCGAGGTAGTCGAGAGGAAGTTGTTGTGGCTCGGGGGTGCATTAAGGCATAATTTATTTGGGGCTTTAATTTAGGATTTAGGTAATTTTTAATAAAAAAAATACGTAAGGTGAGGCGTATAGTCTTAAGCCAGTCAGTCGAGGCGCTTCTCAAGGCGGGGCTTAACCAAGTTGAGGCGCAAGCCTCATAAAAAGGTTCGAGGCATAGGTCTCAAGGAATTTTTTAGTAGAATTGCGCAAAGGCAAGCCTTATATTGCGCAATTTTAAACAATGCTCCCAAATATTATAATTAGACTCACACTTTTCACATAAAGACATCTAAAATTAAAGAGAGCTTAAAGATATGAATTATAGAGCTCTGCCCAAAGATTGATGTTGATAATCACAAAACACCATCACTTGATCACTGAAGCTCGACCACTAATGCTTGACTTTCATCGCAAGATTTTGGTTCCCTGGCTGAGACATCCAACACTCGACGAGCATGTCCTGCCCGCCACCGTTCGTTAACGACTCTGACATCTACTTACTCCCAACAATCTATTGATCTTCGTCAACGCCCATCACCATTTCACAATACTTTTCAATACATTCACAAGAGACTGAGTTGGTAATTCATAATTTGTAATCCTTGGATTCTTTAATTTATAAGAGAAAACTTCCATAAACTTTATTTGCATAGTGGATTATTTCAACTGGGGCAGGCCCCATGAATTTTTTCTACCTAGATTGTTTATTTAAAAACTTATGTCTTTTGCAAACGTTTATCATCTATATGTGTCTGGATCTTTATACAATGCCAAGTAAAAAAAAAAAACTCTTATTATACCATCACAAATTTTCCAACACCTAACAAGAACAAAAAGAAGATAAAGAGAGAAGTGGATCAATTATGAATGGATGGCTGAAGAATAGTTGGTGGCACCCAAGGGTGTTGATTAGCCTCATAAATTGATTTAGTCGACCCCACAAACAAGGCTCTAGATCCCTTCCATTTTGTTTCCCCCATATTAGATGGTCAATATCTTCCAGTCATGATATTTGCCATCCAATCACTAATCAACGTGGGGAACATAACGCCTAAGCTCCTATAATTTATTTTTATCATCATCATGTTAACCTTCTCCCAAATATTTGGGACTGGCTTTATGAATCATCAATTTTCACTCACTCTTATTAAGTCATGCCGAAGGTGTTAAACCAATCATTTACAAATAAATTTTGATTACTTATATCAATATTACCTTAAGTCCACCACTTCTTCTTCCAAATCCTCCAACATTAATTTTATCTACACATCTAACATATATAATTTTCACCCATTAATATAGATGTCCAAACTACTTAATCTATTTTCAATTACCTCATCTTCAATAGATGTCACTCCAATTATTCTTTTAATAAAATCATTCATAAATTAATGCTTCATAGTTTAACTATACATGCATCTTAAAATGCTTATTTCAATCACACTCAATTTAGATATCAATGATATTGTACATCCCAACACTCAAATTGAACTTTTTAATTTATTGTACATGGCCTAATTGCAGCATACTAAATCTCCAATTGTAGGGATCAATAAGATCTGCATACCCAAAGTTAATCTCCACCTACAAAATAATTGCATCTAAAACTCTACTAAAATTTTTTAAACCTTTTACGTATCAAATGAATCAAACATTCCAATGGACAATCCAAAAGATGCAGAAGATTGTTAAAATTTTATAGCATTGGAAATTTCTGAATTTTGTAATGTGCAATACTGCAATGTGAAAGGCATAAAGACAGAATAACACGTTTGACTATAAAAATGTATCTCTTAAGGTGGTCATTGACATAGCAAACTTATGAGCATTCAGTTCTAGGATGCCTAGGCTGTGATTAAGTTCAATGGTGCCAATGTTGCGATAGATGCCTAGAGATTGAAAATGGTTGCTTACTCCACTAATATAGGGTCCCCACATTATAGATTCAACTTGAAATTCCCAGAATCCATTCCCCTGGTGCACATTTGCATTTGCAACCCAAGCATGAACAAAAATATAAAAAATCCTGAATTAAGAACAGAGGGATAAGAACATCTAGATTAATCCCTCAAACAGACAATCTTAACTTACTAAGACAATATTGATAAAGAGCCACGCAACTACTTGCATATGTACTAATTGATATGCAGGCATACAACAAATTACACCTTCTCTCAAAAAACATGAAAATTCAATTTATGATCTATATCCGATTTATTAATCTTGTGAACCTTCTACCACACAAAAACATGTTCACAGCTTTGGTTTATAAACATTTGAATCAAATTCAGATATCCTAACAAAACTAACACAGCTTAAATTAGATATCGAATAGATGTAACAAAATAAATATATAAACTAATTCAATTTAGCATTACATCTTAATCTCCTATTTACACTAAAAGAAATACATAATTGAAAACACAAATAAAATTTCCAATCGAAGTTTTGCATCTCAATAATCAATAACGAAATTCCTAGGCGTCAGGAAAAAAAAACTCAGATCTCGTCATAAACAAGGACCAGACCATGCATCTCCAAGATTACCCATTAGATATTCTCTCCCGATTAACATAATGATCAGATGAACGAAACCCTACTGCATCAATCACCAGATCCAGCAAAATCAACACCCTATCCATTACGACTTTCAGTTCTAGCTGACCAAATTCAATAAACAAGCAAAATCATCAAAAGTAAACAATCAATCCACGATCACCATTGATTCAGTACCCAATCCGATAAAGAAACACGCATCAATTAGATCCCAGCAAAACGATTGGTGTCCGACTAATAAAATCCCGAATCCTAAACAACAGAGATCTGATCTAAAAGATAGAGAGAAAGAAACGCATACCATTTTGACGTAGCCGGAGACCTAATTGAAGGAAATTTAAGAGAGAGACGAGCTAAAACCCAGGCGTACACAGCGAGAGTTGCAGATCTCCGTGCTTCCGATGGAAACATAGCTTTGCCTTTTATAGCCACGGATTGTTCATCGGTTTTTATGCGGAAGCCTCGAGTTTTTCATTTTTTATTTTGGAATCCTTCTTGGCCGCGTGTGTGTGGCCTCTTGTGTGACTGCAGCCGGGCCGGTTTTTTTTATTTGGGCCAGGTGAACAGTGGTAGTACGCAGCTAGGAATAACCTAACGTGACCGCCATACCACGATGGCTACAGGAATTGTGGGGCCTATTTTTGACGCGTCGCTACATCTTGATGGGACGCAATTATGAATCGTCCGCCTGCGGCCTAGAGAAAATATCAACATTTCATTATATATATATATATATATATATATATATATATATCTAGACGGTTTTTTTATTATTTTTTAAAATATTTTTTTAATATAAAAATTAAGATATTTGTACTTAAAAAAAATTATTTTAAAAAATAATGAGAAAGCTATATCAAATAAAATCTAAGTTAAACTCACATACATCTTATGCTTAAACTTTGAATTCAAAACTTCTTGATTAACAACTAAAGTTCTAAACAAATAAATTAAAGTTTCATTTGGGAACATCTTTTTTACTTTGAGGTAATTTTTTTAGTACAAAAAATTTCTTAAAAATTGGCGAAAAACACCTGAAAATTATCCCAAACGAAATTTAAATTGCATTGTGTATTTGTTTTGAACTTTTTTTTTTTTGTATTTTAAATGGTAAGATAAATTTTATAATACATTATTTGAATTTATAGCTTTGAGGAAATAATTTTCTATATATTTTAAACTTTTTTTAGGAGTTTTTGATAATCTATTTAACATTAAATTTAATTTATTGTCTTATGGTGAATTTGTGTTTTGGGATCATATATATTTGCATTTTTTTAAAAAGTTTTGGGCAATAGTTAGGGGTATAAAAACGGGTCAACAAGTTGAATTTGGGTCCAACTCCAAACAGACCCGAACCCGACCCTTATCCGATCAATCCGAAGTCCGAACACGGCTCATTTACTAAAAGAGTCAAATATCAGAACTCAGACTCGACCCACTAGCAACTGGAACCCATATAAAAATTACACTCTTAACAATAAATCGTCCTCCCGCGTAAACTCTTAAACCTCCATTCTCTCTTGTAATACTTTATGTAATACAATTTCCTCTAAGACTCCATGTTTTATTAGTATAACTTGGTGTAGGAGTTTTTCTAATTCAATAAATTTGATTAGAATTATGAAATTTTATTTTAAACTTATAAAAAATCATTTTTAAAATTTGGTTATTTAATAATATTCATTTTCTATTTTTTTATTTCTTAGAATTAGAAATTTTGTATTATTATTTTATTTCTATAATCATGTACATATTATATTTATCATATGATTTTTTTATCACATACAGGTGTTGGAAAAGTAAAGTGATCCTAACTTTTCATTATATGCTTTCAAATTGTTAATTAAGTGTTAAGTATTAATTATACAATTATATCATATTAAGAAATTTGGAAAGCATGTGCCATAAGCTAATGATGATGATTATCCACTAAGTATAATTATGCAAGTCAAAGACGAAAGCCAACTTCACCTACTGAGCTGACGACTTTTTTTTTTAGAGCATGGCCTATTTCATTAACTAGATGAAATATTTACATCAAGGCAATGTCAGTTTTTAGTGGAGTAAGATTGTGTTAATCAATTGGGTGTATTATTGAAAAAATTATTCTATGCATATGTCGAACTCCATTCGGAGACCAACCAAAATGAGTCACGTAGGTACCGTGGCTCGGTACCCCGCTCGGTATTGCTGCTCGGTACCGCACTTGGTATTGCTGACATGGCCCATTATGATTGTTCTCTGGATATAGAACTGCGTTCAGCATCCGCACATAATAATTTATCGTACTATTGACTAGACTTTAATTTTGTTGTTCGACATTGATGTGGAGCTCACCAGGGAGTCATGAGAGGTAACGCGCTCCTACTCGAGGGTTTGGGGGCGAGGACATAAGAAAAAAATCTTATACATATAGAGAGCACAATGTCACAGCATTGTAGTTCAACGCCACGACGCTGCCAAACAAAAAAGCTGGCACCACAAGACTAAGATGTCGGTGCTTGAGGTGTTGTGCGTATAACACCGCAACGCTGCAAATAAATTAAAGTATTTAAACCAATTCACAGTGGATAAAATATTTAATGTCAAAAAAATAAATACTATCATATTTATTTTGCTACAAAATAATAGATAAATCAAATCAGATATAAAATATTTGATGTAATGACACAGTTACAAAGAAACTTGCATAAGCACTACATCCTTTGCATAAGACTGCTAAGAAATAATTGATGTACATTCCTTGAAAAAAAAAAACAAAATATTCTACTTTATGCCCACAATGACAACAAAATAAATAATATTTATTACATACATAAAAGAAGAAGAAGAGAAATACAACCTAGTAGAGAAGAGCAGCCATGGTCAAGGGCTCTCATGCCTCCCTATTACATGGAAAGAAAACCAATTGCAAACCCTCTATTCCTAAGGTTAGTTATAACAAATTCATATATACTCTATCTACATCTCTCTCTCTCTCTCTCTCATAATCTCAACAAATAAAACTTCTGTATAGGAAAAATTTGAAGCTGTATCGACTTCGAGCAAATGATCAAACTTCAATCACTTTGGTATTCTACAAGAATATTGCCACAGAGGGCTGAAAAAGCTGCAACTTCTTAGGAGCAGTGCTATAAGAATATTAGTAGTAGAGTCAGTATGGAATCTGCCGCAAATGTCCAGATTACTCCTGAAAATAAAATTGTAGTCAGGAATTATTGATAGCACCACAAGGAATTTCTGCATGTCAAGCAATTTTGATGTGAAGATAAGCCATAAGAAAGGAAGAGCCACAAATAGTTGGGTTTGGAAATGTTGTAGCTTTGTTTTTCAATTCATTCTATGGTTTGCATGATCCAATGATGCAATAAGAGAAGCAAATCATATATAATTAAAGTTGGGCCTGACATACCGATGATCAAATCATTTTTCAACACCAAGTTTAAGGTTTTGTTTGAGACGATTTTTTTATTGTTTTCTTAAAACGGTTTTCTAGTTTAAAAATTAAAATTTTATACTAAAAAGCTGCTTTAAGAAGCAGTAAGAAAACCGTCTCAAATAAAGCTTAAATCTTTAGGTGAGGATCACCGCAAATATTTTTATAATGAAATGTTTCATCTATTTGATGTGGGATTATTTTGTACTCTCACTTTCATCTTAACAATCTCTCCCTCACATGAGCATCCACATTAGTCACTATTTTTCCTCAAATGGAAGCTTTTCAATGCAATTAAAACTAATGCACCAATAGCTAGCTCAATTACATTAGGCTTGTGTGAGAATTACTTAGGCTTTTAAAGCTCGGTTGATAATGATGGAAGCAACGGGTTGCAAAGTGCATGATACAATTTGATATCGACCAAAATAATTGCTCTAAAACCACTTTCTAGACTGTTGGCTAAGGATGAACTAGTAGTTCAACTTAGGCTTCGTTTGGAATGGCCTTTTTATTGCTTCTTAAACTAGCTTTCTAGTAAAAAATTAAAAGTCTTGTACTGAAAAGCTGCTTCTTAAAGCAGCAAGAAAGCCATCCCAAACAAAGCCTTTGTTTCATCTCAGAAATTTGGGCTTCATTTGGGACGACTTTCTTACTGCTTTTTAAAGTAGCTTTTAAGTACATATTTTTTTATTTTTTACTAGAAAGCTGTTTTAAGAAGCAGGAAGAAAGCCATCACAAACGAAGCTTTAAGCATATATTTGAAAGCATAACTCAATCTATACTAACACATTTTCCCACAATTTGATGCTAACTATGTTGTGGTTATTGTTGATAGAAGTCAACTTCTAAGTAGTTTAAGAGGAGATAATCTCTTTACCTATAAAAAATTGCTAAAGTTATCCTTAATTGATACCAATGAACTAAGAGTTGGGGCACTAATATTCTATCTTTACCTTCAAAAACTTAAAACACAAGTAAAATTCTTGTTTGATGAAAGTATATTTGGAAAAGGAAATTACCAGACAGCATCTGAGAAGAACTTAGAAGGTTCAAAGACTGCGGCATCGAATCCGATCTTAGCTTTCAGCTACTTTGAACATCTGCATCAGTTAATTATTCACACTTACAGCAAAATCCCTTCTCAGGAACCATGAAATGCCTGATCTCATGAAACTACAACTGCTGCATCAGACTCAAAGAACTGAGCTACAGCAGAATAAAGCTGTTCTACTTCAAATGGCTTCGACACATAACCATCCATGCCATACCTCACACACTCATCATAATTTGCCTGGAAAACGTCAGCTGTCATTGCCAGTATGGGTATATGCCAATGTGCAACATTACCATACATTTCCACCGATGCTTCTCTTGACTTGATGAGCTTATTGACCTTTTGCTCCATGTCTCGGATTCGCCGGGTGGCTTCAAATCTGAAAAATCAGTGTTTAAACAGTTAAAATCTATCAAAAAAACCAAAATGAATTAAATGGTTAGAAAAGCAACACATAAATCCCTTCTGACTAACATTATAGTTTCTATGATAGGATCAGAACATCTTACTCCATTGACACATGCAACATAGATGGGAGGTGTTTGTAGAGCTGTTGCTTTCAATTTTACAATTGTAAAGCTGAAAAGAAGCTGAACAAATGGCAATTTTTAATAATAAAAAATTTTAAATCATGATTATTCAATAAATTTTATGATGTCTAACACATGTTACAACAAATACAACAACAACAACAATAATATCAAGCCTTTGTCCCACTACGTGGGGTCGACTACATGAATCCTTTTCGCCATTATTTCATGTTAAAAGTCAAATTCTCATTTAAATCTAATAAAGAAAATTCATTTTTAAAATTTTCTAACCAAGTCTTTTTAGGTCTAACTCTATCTTTCTTAACATAAGTTAAATATAATACCTCAACTTTCCTAACCGAGTCATCGGAAGGCCTCCTTTTGATGTGACCAAACCATCTAAGGGGATTCTCTCTAATCTTATCTTCCACTAGAGCTACTCCAAATATAAATAAAAATTTTTTGTTGTCAAGGGGGATGATGATGATGAAGAACATCATCATCATCATCACCATCACCATCACCATCACCATCACCATTCTCTCTAATCTCATCTAAAGCAAGCGCAGTCCAAGTAGTTGTAATGCAGTGTAGTATGAAGCTTATATAACACTTCAGTACATGTATCCCAAGAGTAAGAATTATATATCATAGTTCATCATATATATAGAAATATAAATAAGGGTGAAACAAGGAGAAACATGTAACTACTAACACACAAAATTTATTGTTATCATAAATAAAGAGATTAAACATGAAATTACCCATCCATTTCAGGCATCTGAACATCCATAAAGCAAGCATCAAAATTGTGAGGAGGCTGAAGGAACTCAATGGCAGCCTTGCCGCTGTCTGCACATTTAACTACAGCTCCATATTTCTTTAAAGCGCCAGCGGCGACCTTGAGATTAACTAAATTGTCGTCGACAACCAAGATTTGCTTCCCGCTCAGTAAGCTTTTTAGCGTCGGCGGTTGCCCTGCTTCTTGATGCCTCCTATCCCCTACTCCCATGGCTCTCTGAAGGCAAGCAGTCATCATGCTTACGCGAAGAGGCTTTATAATGCAATCAACATATCCCGCCGATTTTATAATATCCACCTCAGAAGGGCTTAGGGAGGTAGACAACAGAAGCATCTTTGGGATATTTTCCTGAGGACCCAGTCTACCATTTTGCTTGAGCTCAATAATTGGACGAGTGAATGCCAGACCAGATCCCTCACCCCAAGCATCCTTGTCAACAAGTACAATGTCAACATGTCCAGTCCCACTGGATTTGGCATAAAGGGTAAGGGAAAATAATTAGTGATTCATCAATAATGTAATTTTAACAAGTCATTTAATATACCATAGGAAAAATTCATATTAACTGAAAATCTTGCAAATCAGCTTCTAAAATGTCCATGATATCGATAAAAGGAAAAGAAAATGATGTCATAACAAACTAAACTAAACGGCGGCACGCACTTAAGGATGCAAACAAGTTGAACTTGACCGAGCGACGAGCTCAAATGTTTTAATGAGATGAAATTTTGGTTTATTTATTCACAAACATATAGTTTTTTAACACCCCTATGCACAATGACCAAAGAAATCTCACCTTGGGCTGCAAGCATCCAGTATCTTGGAGAGTGCAGATTCTGGATTTGTGGCAATTTCCACTTCTATTCCCAATCTCTGCAAGTGATACTTTGTAACATCGGCACGGATGCTCCTTCCATCAACAACCAATCCTGTCATTCCTCGGAAATCCGACACGGTTATTTCTGATTGCTGCCTTTTCATATCAACTGAATTCTTCCACCCTTCCCTGAACACAGCAGTGAATGAAAATGAACTTCCAACACCTGGTTCACTTACAAATCCTATTTCCCCACCCATTAGATCCACCAAGCATTTACTTATGCTCAATCCAATGCCCGTCCCACCGTACATCCGGGACGTAGAACTATCGGCTTGCATGAAAGGCATAAAAATATGATTCTGAGCATCTAGAGGAATTCCAACCCCCGTGTCCTCAACTGTAATCAGTATGTTAATTACATCAGTAGTTTCAGTATTGGTTTCAAACATTCTGAAATTCTCCCAACTTTTGCACCTGTCTACCACACGAAAACCGCTTAATGTATTCTGCAAAAGATCCATGCCATTCTCAACTAGATCATGCCCTTTCCTACACACATGGTTGTCAACATCACAAATCCTCCTCATTTCCTCAATTAGATGAACCGAAACAAAGATGTGCCCTTCTTCTGTAAACTGCAAATTTAAACAAACGAAGTTTCAGTGACGAAATTGTAAAAACTCGTGTAAGAGTTAGAAATGAGGTGTTTAGAACATTTTGGAGAGCATGAAATCCTCATGTAGAAATTTTGTGCCCGATGAAGTGCACAACTAGGTTCAGAAGTTCAACATAAATTGCATAACAATCATGTAGGAAATAGGACGATATCGTTCAAGTGGCTAAACAACACAAATTGGGTTATACTATATTTTGAACTAGAACCTTCCTTTTCAAAGAAAAATGTAAGGACTAGCCAATTCCAAGGAGAGGGCAAAGGCTTCCATGTCCCTTCAAGAAAAACTTTGGATAAAAGAACGAATGGTTGGATTGACATTTATTGAAAGTAATCGACAATAGACTAGGTTGATTTGAACATATACAATTAAGAGCAAAAAATATGCCCAGTAGACAAATATGGGACAAACCGAAAAATATATGAATAGAAGTTGTACAAAATAATTTGCGAAGTATAAGTTTAACTCCACTGACAACACTTAGTAGGAACGAATAAAAAAAAAAGGAGGACACATACCCACATATTGGGATAAGGCTAATGATGATTATTACATCTTGATTGTTTGGTGTAGATGTCATAAGAAATTCAATTTACCAAGAAAATTATAAAATGATCATTTCAATCTCCATCCAAATAAGTGGATGAGAACTAATTTCTATTCTATTCTATCATTTTAATCTCCATTCCCTTTGCATTTCCTCTCTTTCAATTCCTTCAAACCAAAAGGAGACAAGTTTGAATCCCATGCCATAATGAAATATTGTACAGTACATGCAAAGATACAAGGAACTTTGGTGAAATTCATGCATAAGCTCAATACTTAAACATTATAAAAACAAAATATCATTATAAATTTCATAATAAATAAGGTAATACCATAATGTTATAGCAAAAGGACAAACTAACAAATAACATGAAGCAAGAAAAACAAATAGCAAACCTTCACAGAATTCCCAACAAGATTTGTAATAACTTGTCTGAAACGCCAAGGGTCTCCTATAAGAACTTCTGGCACCTGATTGGAAATGTAAACCGCCAGCTACACACAAAAATAAAAGAGAGAAACAAAACCTTATGTTAAATATCATCAAAATGGGATGGAAATAGCAATCAGAAAATTCAAAACCGAGCACATCAGGTTTACCTCGATGCCTTTGGCTTGCGATTTGTCAGAAAATAGAGACAAAACATTATCCAAAACAGCGCGAAGATCAAAAGGTACAGCCTCTAGCTCAAGCCTACCAGATTCTATCTTAGCCTGATCAAGAACCTCATTTATTAAGGAAATTAAGGCCTTCCCACTCGCCTGAGCAGTCATTGCAAAATCCTGCTGTGTTGAATCAAGATCTGTGTCCAGAAGCATCTGCAACATACCTGAAATTGAACCAAAACTTTATCATCCTTAACATAAATTTTAAGTAATACAAACAAAGCAAAACATCAAAATGAAGCAACAGACCTAAGACACCATTCATTGGAGTTCTAATTTCGTGTGAAACAGTCGCCAAAAACTACAAGAAATAAATAAAAAATATTAGTACTTGGACATGAATTATGACAGTAATCACACCAGTTAAAAGTGAAATGACATATAAAAAGTAGGGGGTGTCAATATTTGACACGCCCCGAACCCGACTTGAACCCGACCCAAAAATTTCGGGTTAGGGTCAACCCGAAACAGGTTGGGTTCGGGTTCAACATTTTGACCCATTTCAAAAATTGAGTCGGTTTCGGGTTGACCCTTTGACCCGAAACTGACCCGTTTAGACCCGAAAACCCAATTTTGACCCGGCAATCCGAGATTGACCGGTTTTCGACTAGTTCTTTTACCCGAAAAGCGGAGATTGACCCGTTTTTTGACCCGAAAACTAGCAATTTTTTGTTGGAAACGGTCGTGTCGGGTTGACCTGGACCCGAAGCGGGTCGGGTTCAGGTCCGGAAAACCGACCCATTTTAAAAAACGGGATGAGTTCGGGTTGACCCGAATAGTGCCGGGTCAGTTTCGGGTTCGAGGTGAACCCGACCCGTGACCCGAAATTGACAACCATACTAAAAAGCAAGATCCCTTGAAATATTGTAGGAGAAAATATGTTGTTTTGTAAACTCATTTTCCCTTTGCGATATTTTCATTGCAAGAACAAAATATCACCTGTGATTTTGCCACATCGGCAGCTTCAGCCCGAACTTTCAGCTCTTTCATTTCGCGATAATCATCTTCAACCTTTTCAATCCGATTAATGGCAGCATTAAATATGTGCCCAACGAGCAAAACAATCACAGCAACACCTAATGATGTTGTTATAGCTGACCATGGAGGTGGAGGTTCATGCTTGAATCTGAACAGATTACAAAGGTTCCAAATAAGGAAATTTCAACTTCCATGCTTTTCAACATAGCGGCAACATGATAAATAATGCCTACCTGCAATGCATTGCATGTCTTCTTGTCGGATCGCCAAAATCAACATAACTAATATGCACATCATCTCTATCAGAAACATCATCTGGACCATACATCTTTATACAAGCGGATGAGTTAGTTGTGTCATACACATTAACGATGATAGTTTGCTTGCTTGCAAGCTGCTGAAGAAGTCTCTCTACCAAAGAAGCAATATCAAATGAAGCACCAAGATACCTGACAAATTCAATACAAGAAATATTAGAATTACTGAAACTAAGGTTTTGTTTGGGACGATTTTCTTCTTGCTTATTAAAGCAGCTTTTTAATACAAAAATTAAAATTTTTGTACTAAAGCAGTAAAAAAGCCGTCCCAAACAAAGCCTAAATATATGAACTAATTAAGAAAAGGTACAACAACAACTAACCCGACGGTAGCATCAATACGCTCTTGAGCCGTAGAAGCGGGGGGAAGGTCAATTTTATATACAGCAAATGTGAGAACCACCCCAAGTTTATTTGATTTAAGAAGCTTAAATGGAGATGTTAGAACGCCCTTCCCCGATGCCCTGGCTCTTAATATATTGTCATGATCTTCCTGGCGAAAGGGGAAATAAAATAAGATTTAGAATTCTATTTTGGTAACATATTGAAAAAAGCTTTATATAAGCCTATGCTTACCTTCCCAGACATCATATCAACTGATACAATGTGTGATACCGTTTCTTGAGTGAAGATAACTGGTGCATATTCCTCTTGAGCAGGTGAAGGGTCAAGTTTCTCAGGAGCGTAATCATCTTTAACAGGAGACTGATCCTCAGTTTCCATTTTCTTTATACTCCATCCATGTTCCTTTTCAAATTGTTCTCTCTCAGAATGTAAAACTTTTAAAGCATAAGCTACACCGCTGGTCAATGGGCGTTCAAATGCAGTTCTTGCTGTATACTCTGCAAAGGTTTTCTGCAAGAAAGATGAAGAGAAGGTCAATCTATTTTTCTACAATTTAGATGATAAAAAATGTCACCAAAATAAGGATATTAATGCGGAACATTCCAACAAAGAGTAGTGCTGTCCAGCCCGCCGGAAAGAGGCCGGTTGCTGCCCAAAGGCAGTAGGAAGTTCGGGTTGCTGTCCACTCCTCAAACAACCCAATGACTACACCGGAGCTTCGCATCTTCTTCCCTCCCGTTCTACATCAGTTTTGGTATTAACCAATCATTATGATGATGAGTGGGGAAGCGGTAGCAAAGATTTTGGTGAGCTTTTGATATTTTGATTATTGAGTACAGCAGAATCGGGCGGAGATTGAAAAGCAGGGAGTTAAAAAGAAGAATAGATGAATTAATGTCCCAAAAGGGAGGGAAAGCATAGAGAGAAAGAGGAAGAGTAGCCTAACGGCTAGAAACAAGGGAGGAAACGTTCTCCTAGAGGGTATGCCAGAAGAAATTGTTTCCATTGTTCCATCATAAACTATCTGAATTCCATGATCATTGATACTTTTTTATAATAATAAGCCACATTTAAAATGATAAAGCTACTCTTGAAATAAATTTTAAAAAAATTAAGCTAATCCTAAATGATAAATGATACTTCAACCACTAATAATTAACATGATATAATACAAAAAAATACAATCACTAATGACCAAATACTATAGTATATGCCTCCCATTGCACCACATTCATTAATTGATTATTCAAGCACATTAAGGTTTCGTTTGGGACGGCTTTCTTACTGCTTATTGAAGCAGTTTTCTAGCAAAAAAAATAATTTTTTACACTAAAAAGCTGCTTTGCAAAGCAGTAAGAAAGTCGTCCCAAACGAAGTCTAAATTTACAAATTAGAGATCTCCACATTATGAGTTAGCTATCTAAACTTCTACCAAACACTTCCAATTCTAGCTACAATCCACACACCAGCAAATAGGTATGATACCAAATGCAGTCCTAGAGAAAAATAAACTAACCAAATTAGTAAAAAATAATTACCAAATACTATAGAAAAGGAATAAAAAATCGTAAAATCACTATTTTGAATTCATTAACCAAAACACTGAAAAAAATATATATATATCAGAAGTTTAATAAGCAGAGAAACCTGATCAATGGCAGAAGGGTTCTTTCCATGGTGAAAAGTTGATATCAGAATAGCTAATGCATTGACATGGTTCAAGCTCACATTGAACTGATCTTGTAACATTCTAGCTCTCTCATCACACATATTTGTAAGAGTCTCCTTTCTTCTTGCAACAATGGTTGCATTCATGCTGAAATAAATCCACACAGAGACTGACATTCCAAGAAAGATTCCCATAAATAGAATTCTCTTACGCCATCTACCTCCTGCCTTCAGGTTATGCGGCTCATATTGCTGCTGGTGCAACAGCTTATTCGAAAGATTGAACAAATTTCTATAAATAGGCACTACTATGGAACTAAGTACCATGCCCATTATAACAAAACAAATTATCAAAAGCTTAGGGAGGTTTTGATTCTGTTCTCGGTTGCAGTTTGCCGTTACTCTCGAGTTTAAAATGCTTTCACAGTCCTGCAAAAGAAATTTAATTATTGACAAATTTGTCAAATTATACCATCAGTCAAATGATAGGAAATACTTGAGTTCGCAAGTAACCCTAAGGGGTATACTTGAGTTTGCAAGCAATCCTATCACTAATTGGTGAAAACAGCGAGAATAATGCAAAATCTGGGTGAAATCAGCCCCAAAATGTTGTATTGCAACAAGGGAATCAAACCCAAACAAACACGAAAACAATTAAAAAAAATAAATAAATAAAAACACGAAAACAATATACAAGTGATCCTCAATTCGAAAGGAGGATCGTTCTCTCCCAATCTCTAGATAAAGAATCTAGAGCCAAGACGCCAGGAACTCCAAAAGAAACACCAATCAAAGCATGCATAACTCTAACCCTAAACAAGCCATACTATTAATACATTAATTCCCTAATTCAAACATCCATAATTCAAATTTTCTTATCACCCTAGCCGCCCAACCCTCTCTCATCAATTTACTCCTAGTGGGGCCCACTAGTGTTGGCGGCAAGAGGGAAAGGAGGCGGCACTTGTCCGCCTCCTATAAACCTAAGCTGGCCTTTGGGCCAGCTAGGCCAGTTCAAGTTGAACATGCCTAACAACAAACTTCTTTATGGCTTAACATATACAATGTGGGGCCCTTAGCATACACAATACAAAATAAATTAGAATGGCACACAACAACAACATCAAACCTTTATCACACTAAGTAGACAAGAAAATGTAATATTATACTTTATATTATGAAAAAATAGGCAAAAGATAGCATAAAAAAGAATTACTGGCAAAAGCTTGATGATGAGACAATGACTAGGAACTGAAACTGGAGATATCTCAAGGACCTTTGATGCTTGACAGCATTGTCTACAAAAGTCATGGTTTTTTATGAGGATACTTCAGTTTTGTTAGTAAGTGGTGATTATTTGAACTAATCTGAACTATACGCTGCTGGAATTAAGCAATGCTCAAAGGATGTTTATTATGATAGAAAAAAGTATGCAGTGAATGAAGCTCTGAACTGCTACAAAATTAGTCATTCAGTACATATTTTAATGCGGTAACGCATGAAACCTTACCCATGCATTGAAGAAAAATTATTTAGAAAATTCAAACCCATGATCTTGCTTAAATGAGATAACTTGACCAATGCTCCTGAGTCATTTAAAATTGTATCATCAAAATTTCTTAAGTTTTAAATGAATGAATATAAATCTCATAGCTATCAAATGCAATGTCATCGTTGGTGGCACCTTGATCTTGTGCTAACAGCCCATTGTGCCCATATATCATTATTAGAGACTCATTGGTGCATAAATCTTATCAAGGTAGCAGATCATGCAAATATCTCATCATCATCCTCAGCATTAGAGGCCCTTGGTTTATAAATCTCATCATGATGGACGAGCATGTCAAGATCCATTCATTGGCCTTCATACAAAATTCTCATCATCAATTTGGGTTCATGCCTGGTAGATCTACTATGAAAGTAATACATTTATTGAGAGACTTGATGGAGAAGTATAGAGGAGATAAGAAGGATCTACAAATGATATTTATTGATTTAGAGAAAACTTATGATAAAGTTTCAAGAAAAGTACTATGGAAAGTTTTAGAAAACAAAAGGATTAATAATGCTTATACTCGGGTCATTAAGGATAAAATAGTTGATGGTGGAATTAAATGTGTAAGAAAAGATAAAAAATAATAAACTTTGTTAAAAAAATTGGTTTAGATGTAAAAAATTGACAAAGATATAAAGATGCATGTAAGGAGTCTAAGAAAGTAATATGCGAAGCAAATATTTAGCTTTTAATGATCAATATAATAGATTAAAGATTAAGGAGGACAATATATATATATAACAAAGAGAAAGGAGAATTAAGGGTTTAGTTCAAGTAAAGTACATTAAAGATGAAGATCAAAAAGTATTTTTATTAGAAGAGGATATTCAACAAAAGTTGATGAGATATTTTGTTAAGCTTTTCAATGAAGATTGAAAGAATACAATTGACTTCAATGACCTTAGCACCTTAAATAGAAATAAATATTTTTATTTTAATTGGAGTAAAACTAAAGTTAGAGAGGCTTTAAAGAAAATGAAGTATAGAAAAGCTGTTAGATATGATGATATTTCAATAGAGATGTGGAAATGCTTAGGAGATGAAAGAACTTAACATACGAAACTATTCAGTATTATTTTGAATACTAAAAAGATGTCAAATGAGTTGAGGAGTGTGTTGATTCCTATTTTTAAAAATAAATATGATGCACAAGAGTGTGCGAATTATAAATAAGTTAATGTGTCATGCTTTAAAACTATGGGATAGAGTTATTAAGAATAGATTACGATGTGATACTAATGTTTTTCAAAATCAATTTGGATTCATGGGGTAGGTCTACTATTGAAGCTATACATTTATTGAGAAGTTTGATGAAGAAGTATAGGGAGAATAAGGAGGATCTACATATGATATTTATAGATTTAGAGAAAGCTTACGATAAAATTCTAAGAGAAGTTTTATGAGAGTTTTAGAAAAGAAAGGGTTTAATAATGCTTATACTCAAGTCATTATGGATATTTATGCAAGAGTTGTTACTTGTGTTCAAATACGATGTGGTTTGACCAAGTATTTGTTGGGGATGAAGAGGAGTAAACACCATAATGACGAAATAAGCAAGAAAGTAAAAGCAGCGGAAAAATAAAGGGCACCAGGATTTAACATAGAAAAATCCAAAATAGGAGGAAAAAATCGACGAAGCCACGCCACACCAATGATGCAACCTAAGAACAAACTTTGCTCTAGGAATGCAAATAAAAACACACTTCATTTTTCATTCACATAAACCTTAAATGATGCAAACAAATACAACAATAAAGTAGTACTAACACCACTTACTACTTATAATAGAACAAGATACGACACAACTTAAAACTTACAATAGTTTTAGAGAAGAAAGATATAGGTGGAATAAGAACCGTGGAGAGAAGAATAGATAGGAGTTCGAGACGAAATATAAGAAGAAAGGTAGAAGAGGATAGCTCGCAAGCTATGGTAAACCCGAAGGTTTCACATTCCAAATATTTATCACATCTCTCTCTCAAAGAAAATCATCTCTAATTTATAGAAGAAATAAGTGGAAATATAATTTAATAGACCACATAAATGTGCCCCCCAAAATAGCTACTAGAATCCACCAAATAACCCATATTTAAAGCCTCATGCATATGAATCAGCAAAGAGGAAATCGAGCAGCAATAGTAGGAAAAATGAGCAGCCAACAGCACGAAAACAGCAGGGCAACAACATGGGGAAAAACAATCAGCATAGGGAAAGCTAGCAACACTTAGGAAAGACCAAACAGCACTTACAACAGTTAGGGAAGACCAAACAGCAGCAAGTATACGAGAAGACAACAGAGAAAAAGAGTGGACAGCAGGAAAACTGAGAAATAGTTGAAAAACCGAGGGGCTACTAGGGAAAACAAAGGGTCAACATAAAACACTGAACAGACACTGGAGAAAGAAAACTAGAAACACAAGTAGAAAATAAAGAGAACATAAAATGACAACTCTTGACTGTATCAACCAAGAAATCCAATGTGAAAATTGAAAGAAATAAGTACATATCTCTCTTATCTCTCACTCTCTCCTTATTTCTCTTCTCACATGTACAATTCTAAATGTCTAACATAACATAAAATACAAGTGAAAGCAATTATAACCACCAAGGGACGCAACCCTTGAGAAAAACAAGAAAGAAAACTGTCTAGTCAGTCAAGTGTCTGATGATGTTGTGGTGCTCAAACTCGCAGCGCTAGAGCGCCGAATCCAGAACGCTATAGCGCTCTGCTATCTATCAATAGCGTTGGGACGTTTGGGAACAAAGCATCGGGGCGTTGTACAAAAGAAGAAAAAAAATTCGAGTCTTTGCACCCGAACCCAAGCAAGGGGTAAACCCCCCCGCACCCTCTAGCGAGCATGAGAAACTTGAGGTCCGAGGTAACATAATAACCTGATTAATCAACACAATCAGATTTCACACATAATAGTATTTTCCTATTTCAGTTGGATAACATCAAGTATGAGCTTTAAGCTCATTTCTTTTTTCTTTAGTCATGAATATTCTTACTATACATTTGCGGGGAGATGTACCTTGGTGTATGCTTTTTGTTGATGATATTCTTCTTGTTGATAAGACTAGAGACATAGAGTTGAATGTAAACTTGAATTTTGAAGGTCAACCTTAGAGTCTAAAGGTTTTCGTTTAGTAATAGATCTAATGGGGAATTGTGGCTTTGGGTAATCAAGTCATTAATAAGAGTATATATTTTAGATACCTCGAGTCTATTGTCCAAATTGATGGTGAAATAGATGGGGATATTATGAGTAGAATTCAAGTTGGATGGTTGAAGTGGATGAATGCATTGGGCTTGTTCTATGATAGAAAAGTAACCCTCAAACTTAAGGGTAAATTCTATAAGATGGTGGTGAGAACTGCAATGCTTTATGGCGCAGAATGTTGGTCATTAAAAAAGATGCGTACAATTAAGTTAAGGGTTGCAGAGATGAGGATTGAGGATGCTTAGGTGGATGAGTGGCTTTATTCATAGAGATAGAATGTGAAATGAGCATATACGTGAAAAAGTTGGAGTAACTCCAGTGGCATATAAGATTAGAGAGAGTCTCCTTAGATGGTTTGGTCATACAAAACGTCAGCCTTCTGATGATCCGGTTAGGAGAGTAAATGTATTATATTTGGCCTATAATATAGAGGTAGAGGTAGACCTAAAAAGGCTTTGTCAGAAAATATTAGAAATGACCTTTTTTATTAGATTTAAATGAAAATGTGACTCTTAACAGGACACAATGGAGAAAAAGGATTCATGTATATGACCCCACGTAGAGATAAATGATTGATGTTGTTGTTACTGTTCATGTTAATGAACATGTTATAGTGATAGGAATAATTAATAGAGAGGCAACATTGAGTTTTAAGGAATTATAGGATTAAGTTTGCTAAGGTGGCCGACTATGGAAGATGTTTTAACAACAGAGCGAGTATAAAACTTAAAAAATGTATACTTATAAATCCATTCACAGGTGCTTCACTTAATTTGAATTTTCTACTTTTATAGAGTTAGTTTTAAAAATATAAGGTTATTCCTAAATAATTAGTAGGATGAGATTAGGTCAATTTTAAATTAATTATTATTCATATTTTGCAAATAAATAGATTGTTTCCTACAACATAAATAAATTCTTAGTCTCACAAAGGATTTTCTATCTCTTCCTCTCTACTCCGGTACTACAAAAACAACACACACTCTAACAACCACAGGCACTCTAGCAAAGTATCAACTAGTGGCAATCATGAACATTTTAGCAATCACAGGTATGATGACAAACTGTGGTTATTGTAGCAAACAGGTAGAAGGCAAAATATAGATAAGAGTCTCCTTATCTCCTACATTAAGAAAACTCAATCAATCATCTTATTGGCATAAACATATTAAAAGGATGGAGTTATATCACTTTTGTCATAAAAAAACTCTAATTTATTCCGAAGTCTTTCATCCATCCAATTTAGAATCGCTTTAAGCCGGCTTCACAGGGGCTAGTCCAAAGTTTTGTTAAATTTTTGCAAATCCAAAACAAAGACGAAGGTCGACCCGCACCACAAGTGCCTCATGGAAGAACCGTCGAAAATGATCACTTCATCAGCAAAGAGTTCAATAAAATACTGAATTAAAACATGATTCAACCTAAAATATTAAACTTACTAACTTGGACTTGTACAAACAACACCTTGCCCTTGCTAAAGAACGAAGAAGGCTCAGTTTAAGTAATGTACAAGTATAAGCAACCCCCTAACTCATCCCAATCTTAAAAATTATGAAAAAACACAAAGGTTTTGGCGTTTTGCTTGAAAATGATAAAGACAAGCAGAAAACTTCTTGTGTGTACAGAGAATAATGAACTAACATGCCTTCACAAGCAGGATTTCTTTCTGATCTCCTTACTTGTTTAGTCTCCATAGAAACATTTCAAACATGCACCAAGCCTCACATTGCAACATGGCAACAATCCATTTGTGTTAACGGGTTCTGATATCATTCTGATTCTTCCATTAAGGCTTCGTTTGGGACGGCTTTCTTCCTGCTTCTTAAAGCAGCTTTCAAGTACAAAAATTAAAACTTTTTATACTAAAAAGTTGCTTTAAGAAACAATAAGAAAGCCGTCCCAAACGAAACTTAAGCTTCATTGATGACCAGTGTTCATTCCATTTGGGGTTTGTGCAAGTCACATAAGACCCGCTTATACATTAGGCAAAAGGCAACACACAATACTTCAACATTTGAGCTGGAAACGACGAGAAGGAAGACAAAACAAGAATAGACACTCATCAACCCACAACCAAGAAAGTCCGAATAGACCCAATTGTGTGTCCCAGTTTTCCACAGCATCTACAGGGAACCGATTAGCAAAAGGACATATAACTTAAAATCATAGACACGTGCTTGTTCTAATAAGTTACTGTTGAATGGAAGAAACCAAACAAACTACATGGTCCCCACGAGCTTCCCCTTCATTAAGCAGGCCTTATGCTCATAACACAAAAATGCAAAGCAGCTTGTGTAAATCTTTGTCGTTGTGGGACTAAAAATATATGATTCATACAAACATAGAAGACTTCTACCATTAATTTAGACCAAAAACAGACAATGAAAGAAAGGGAGAACAAGCCTTTGCGGTCAAATCGCAATAAACAAAAGGAGGAAGGAAGAATCCAAGATAAAAAAAACAATGATGGATAGGTACCAAGTACCAACTCCCATATCTACTTCAAACTAATAGCGTTTAATAACAAGCTAAGGAAAAAGAGCATCATCTCAAGGAAACCGAAATAAATCGACCGAATCAATAATAAGAAAACTGTTTTTCAGTTTCAAATAAGTTGAAATCGCTTAAAACTCGGAACCAATACCTGATCTGCTGAGGAGAACAACATGGCCATAGACTGAAGCTTGCTCTTGCTGAGATTGAACTGCTCCCGAAAAAGTTGAATCTTTTCTTCGCACAAAACCCTAATAACCTTCTCCTCCCATCTCAAAATACCGTCTTTTTGAACTTCGAAGAAAACCCATAAGGATCCAACAATACAACCAAAAACCAATAGAGGCAGCAACCTCACCCTCCACCTTCCAAGCCCACCACATGCCTTTGATCTTCCAACTCCATTAGAACACAAACTCTTACTCCGCACCATGCTAAGCACAAATATCTGAGAAATATAGAAGAAAAAGCCGGCAAACCCCGAAGAACTCATCAAAGAGAAACTTGCTGAAGAAACCCACTTCATAAAACCTGCAAGAAAGACTTTTTTGGTTTATCATAAGAAGGGGGAAGAAGAACACTGTAGCGGTGAAAGCTTCCCTGAGCTAATCCTTCCAACTATTCCCTACTCTCCATGTTTCTTTTATGCCTTCAGCCAAATAAATCATCAAGACCACACCTTTTAGAGAACCCACTCCACAGTGGCAACAGAAGCCACAGGAATTCCCTCAGAGGGGGGCAGAAAAGGATGGCACTGCCTTTCTTTGGATTTTTGAATAACTCTTCACCCTCTTGCTCTCCCTCTCCCCTCGTTCTCTCTGTTCAGCCCCTACAACTCATCAAAATTATACCTTTTTTGGACTTTCCAAAGAATAGTAGAGAAGCCAATAATAAGCTAAATAGCAGAGAAGCCGAGTTAGTTTTTTTCCTCAATCTGGGGCAGAAACATTGATCACGGAAGGTAAAAGAGAAAAGCTAAACTACAGATATACGAAGCGGAGGAAAGAGGAAAACTCCCTTTCTCTCTCTCCCGCACTCCACCTCTCTCTCCTTTTATTTTCGTTCTCTCTCTCTCTCTCTCTTGCTTTCTATAATGTGACTCCCTCCCTCTATGCGCTGTAGGTTGGTATGGAGCATTTGTTATTGGCTGTTGGCTGCATCATTATCTCATCATCTTTTATGATCGACAAACACCAAAAGGTCAATAATACAAATATATATGACAAATTAGTTTTTTAACTTTCACAGATTTTTTATCATTCACTGATATTTATATTTTAAATGTATAAATCCTTTTTTTTTATTTTGTATCATTTTTTTAGTTTGATCAAATTCTTAACAATTAATAACCCACGCATAATTTTTTTTAAATATAATTAATTTTATAAATATGAATAATTTGAATTAAAAAATCATGACTATATAAAAAAATATTTATATTTATGTATACATCATCTTAGTTTTAAATCTTTGCATCATTTATTATTATATTAATTCATATTATGTACCTTGCTAATTAATTGATTATACCATAAAAGGAATATCTCATAAACTAAAAAAACTTCATTCTTATATTTAAAAATAACTATTCTATGTTATAAGCATGTGCATTAAAATAATAAATACTTATAGTGTCATGTAAAGTTTATGATAGCTTATATTAATTTTTTGGATGGGAGACTAATAAGCATGGCATCATGTTGAATTTGAATGAGTCAAGTTTAACAAGAATTTAAATTTTTTTAGCTAAATTTAATTGAATTCAAATTTTAAAGTAATTGGTTCTTTCGAAAATGAAAATTAGTCCAAGTAAATGACGAAATTGGTCTTTGAAGTAATAGGGGGAGATTTGATTTATTGCAAATTTAGGAAGGCGAAATTTTCATAATATTGAACTTAATTGTCACGCTTTAGTATTATGAACTATTATATAAGAGGATTCTCCTCAAATCTAAGATGTGAGGATCACATATAGATCCTAGGGTCAACCACTCATTCGAATTGACTCAAATTATTTATGCATAATTTACGTGATTTTTTTGTTGTTGAAATTTAGTTCTAATTCAAGTCAAAATGATTGAAATCGATGTGCCTGCGCACGCGCACACACACGTAATGATTGAAATTCCAATATTCTTATATATATATATATATATACAAGAATATTGGCATTTATCCTCTCACATCATTCACCATCTTTCACATAATTTAAATCATAAATTTTATGAGTAGTTAAATTATTACGTTTAATTTTTCTAAATGTTAGCAATGAAATATTATCATGGATGGTGAAAAATATATTAGGATAAATGTGAAATCTATAGGTTAAGCATTTAGTTCCACTAGTTCTGATCCAATTTGAAAAATGTAAGGTTTTGAACTTTTGAGTTTTTCAACTATTTGCATATCTTTGTGAATGTTTTAATGCATGAAATTGATTGAGCGTGCTCTATAATATGTCCCAAGTGTTGCATGTGAATTTCTATAAAATCTAAGAATGCCACTTTTATAGCCTAGTAGTGTTGCACTCAGACAAAGCATTAGAAAAGTAACGTTACGGCGCCAGCTCTCAGGTTGTTGCAGATTTTTGTGCGTCATAGCATTCTGATTTGAGCGTCACAGTGCTAAGCCATTATGAACTTATTAAATATTAAAATTTTCTGTTTAATCAAATCATTTGCATTCAAGTTGCCTGCGTGTATGAGAGAGAAAGAGAGAGGCTGGAGAGAGAAAATTCATGTTTTGAGCCGCTTCAGACTAGTTTCAGCTGTTGGCTTTGCTGGAAAAATTGTATTGATCGAGATAAGTCACTTTATGTTTATTCATTTTTTAAATATATGAAAATTTTCTGAATTTTTTATTAAAATTATGTTTCCGTTAGCAAAAAATGTGTAGAACTTTGCACCATAAAACTTTCATGTGCTTTATTTTAAATATTATAATTTAGTGTTATCCTCTACTAATTCATGTGATTCACTGATTGGGAGTTCTAAAGAGTTATTATTATGCTGATAGGCAAAGAGTGATGATTCTATTTACTAAATCAACGATTATTGACTTACTAACTACGGAAAAAAATACCTTGCAAGCCATAACTCCTTACTCGTTTAGTGTGTTTACTAGAATAAATGTTATTGATTTATTATTATTGTACAACCTTACTCTTATTACATTAATTAACTATTATTGTATGAATCTAGTGTTACTATTAATATATTTCTTTATTGTTACTATTACCGACGATACTATTTTTGATTCACTAATACTAATATTGATACTGATTCATTGATAATATTACTATTTACTGATTAACTGCTACCAATTATGTGATATATTGAATATGTGATTATGATATTGATCTGATATTGATATAGAATAGTTGGATAGTATGTGTAGACTATGATATGATTTTACTATATTGATATGATATCGATAGTCTTCATCGAGGCTTTAGTTCTACTGATTTTTATATGATTTTCTTATTCATTAAATAAGTATTGATATAATGATTACTATATTGATTTGACGCCCATATTAATTTACTAATTTTTACATTGTATTATTTTTATTGGCTTTTGTACCATATATACTTTCCTACTATTTCACAAATCTTACTACTACTGAATGCAAGTTTTATTATTTCTTTACATATTCATGATCATAGTGATTGCAAATATTATGAATTAATTGATGACATACATACTGCTTCATTATCGTGCTTTGAGTTTAGTTGTATGATTTAAATGATTTTACCTCAGGGCAAAGGATCAGAAGTATAAGATTGATAAAGATTCATCAAGTTTTATTTCTTTTATTTAATTATTCTTTTGTATCCAGGACTGAATGATATGGTGTATTTATATGATTATTGAGTATTATATATGATTTTTGGAGCACTAAATACATATGTATATTAATATTTTGATTACTATATTTTTTTTTTTCGTTGATACTATTATTGATAAAAAAAATAGATAGCTATGATATTATTAGATTAAAATATAAAAAAGAAAAAGAATTCTTTTAATTTAGATTCTAGGACATGACATTATTAATTAACCTCATATTAATTAAAGGAACGTCCGTCGACTCACCCTCCCATATAGGTTGTCACATCTATGTTGACATGAATCATAATAATCATCTTATTTTGTATACACACATTTCATAGTATATATATATAACATTTTACATCGTGTTGAAGATCCAATTTATTGTATAATTTTTCATATATATATGAAACATGTAAATCATGAATAAGAATATTCACAGGGTAATGCAATATGCCCATTTTCATATATTTTTTATAAACACACCAATAAATTGTAGCATTTTATATCAAATGAATTGTACCAGATATGCTTGTCATTTACTTTGTCTAAACCTGATGTAATAATTATTTATAAGTTTCTTAACTTATTTATCTTACTCAAATAAGATAACATAGCTTAAAATACAAAAATGCCCAATAAAAATCTAATATAATCATGTCATCATGTGCAAAATGAGCAAAATTATAACATACTAAAAGTTTCACAGTAAGATATTGTAACTTTTGCATGACGAAATTAAAATTTTGAAACTGTGTAAAAAGCAAATTTATTGAAATAAGAGGTAGAATAACAATAGCATATCTTGATATGAACAAATTCCCCCAACTAGCTGGTCAGGCGAAATCATGCGGCCCAACCATCACTTTATTTTCGCTACAACTCAATTGGTAGAAATTTTATTTTTTATTATAAAATTTATTTAAGAAAAAGAGTTGATGATGTTAAAAAATTAAAGATTTATTGATGCCCAATCTTGAAATTAGTTATGTATCATAATTTCTTATATCTACAAAAAAAAAAATTCTTATATCATTATGAAATATTTTAAATATTCCTTACACATAATTTCTCAATCATAATAAAAATTTACATACATCACTTACTTGTCATTTAAGCTTCCTTTGAGAAAGCATTCTTACTGCTTTTTAAATTAACTTTTTAGAATGAAAAATTCTAATTAAAATAAATTTTATATTAAAAAGCTATTTTAAAAAACAATAAAAAAAGATATCACAAACGAAACCTTAGAATAACATACAAAAAATCACCTAAAAAACTAGTTTTATTCACCAGCAATTATATATCATTAATTATTTTTCTATGCTTGCTATCTAAATAAATCATAATAACATCATAAAAACAATATTTAATAAATATGAATGTCACATAAAATTGTATTGAAATACATTAATTTTACAAATAAAACAAAAACAATTCCCATTTATAATTAATGATGATAGATGAAAGGGACCCTAAATAAGCAAATAAAATTCTAAATTAGATTAATATTTTAATTTTTTTTTTTAATAATTATCTCTTCCTAGAAAGCAACTATTGCTTTTGCCATAGTGAAAGTAACTTAACAAATAAGCCATTTAAATTTTCAAAAGTGTTTTATGTGTAGAACATAAATTGCAAGCTAAGCTGCAGAGACTATAGCCCCAACCCCAATCTCTGTTCTCTGCTTTTCTCCTTTTACAGTGGGCAGAGAAAAAGAGTGTAGCAGCAATAAATGAAGAGGTCTAAAGCTCGCATAGCTGATGGGCATGGCTTATTTTAATGAGTCCTTTATAGGCTTAACCTACACCAGCAGCCAAATACTTACTAATTTAAGTTTAAACTCGATTAATTAGTTTTAATTAAGTTAAGATTTTCCGTACAGCCATAAAAGCACTTCTCTAATAGTATTGTGAAGTTTCTAATTAAACTAAAATTTTGTTTGGGAAATATTTCTTATTGCTTTCTAAAACAACTTTTTAGTATCTAAATATAAGTGAGAAACAGTAATAGTAGGTTAAGAATTAGGCTCCCATTAAATGCAAAGAGATTAAGGCTTTGTTTGTGGATTTATTATTCTGTGCATAGTCTGAATGGCATCCGGAGATCAATAAAAATGCACCACGTCACCCCAAAAGTGTATCGTGCTAGGTATCAAGCTCGGTACAGCGCTTGGTAACGAGCTTGGTACAACGCTCGGTACCTAAGTGTAATTGGACGGGAGAACCGTCCGTTGTCCGCACAAAATAATAGCTCTTATTTGAGACAACTTTTTTGTTGCTTTTTTA